AATTCAGCGGAGAAATTTATTGCCAAATTTGTCGATCGAATTCCTGCTCTTCTACGACACTCATTTATAGCCTCTCAGCAAAGTAGCTTTTTAAAAGACAGAAATACGAAGCTGCAAAATGATGAGGCTCTTGTGATTTGCGACTTTTCTGAGAATTATGCGATGGTGATTTAAGATGCAGTCTAGGCATTTCACTAGACAAACACACAAGCAACAGTTCATCTATTTGCGATATATTTGAAGAACTTGTTGCCAGAATCTGTTCAATTTTGCATCATTGCGATCATTTCCGACTGCCTCAAGCACGACTTTGTCTCAGTTCATCTGTTTTTACGTTACCTAATCTGATTTGAGACCAGACCATGCCACCAAATTTTACAGTGCAGCAGTGTCGCTGGGGTAAGCCCTTGAGTTAGTTGCGATGTCTGCTGGATTGCTCTCAGAAGGAACGTGACGGAATTGATAATTATGCTCGTGAATTTCTGAGATCCTGTTTTTTAAAAGCCTTGGTAGGGTCTCTTATTTTTCAGTTGCCGGCCAAGGGAAAACGGACTTAGAACCTGACCACGCAGAACAGTGTAAGAGTGGAATTGCGAGCTTCTGTAGAACAGAGGTTAAAGTTCGAGCTCCAGTTTATGCGCTTATTAACTCAACTTTCGTAATTGTTAGCCTTTTGGTCGGCATGAGGCGTTGCTGATCAAAAATTAGATTCGTCTGAACTTGGTCGTCTTGGTAGTTCCTTGCGCGAATCATAGCAGCATATTCCAGAATGGAAGCGTCTACAACTAGGTAAATCTGCACTGTTTTACTGTTCGACGCCTTTTTGAAAAATCCGATAGTCTCAGGTTGCCGTGTTTGAAGTAAATGTTGAATTTCGGTCTGAATGACTGCTGGGATTTCCTCGTCTCATTCCATTTCAAGAATTCATAATTTTTGGCAAGGTACTTTTCACGGCAGCATCGCTGGTGTGATTAGTCCTAATAGATCGTACTGCGCCGATATAAAACTAAGTACGGCTCTTTTGTTTGAAAGTTCAGAAGTCATACTTTGATTTAGATTGGAAATAAATCTGCAAGTAGATTCCAATTTAATCTCAAAACAGATAGTTCGGATTCGCTACAGCGGTCGATTAGAGGCGGGGGTTTGAAAACATGCTTAAAAAAGATGCTACAAATATGCGAAATTGCTAACTTTCTCATCTCTTCATCAATACATGCATTCTAAAGTAGACAGTAAAACTGAGCATAATAAGCGGTAAAAAAAAAAGAAAAAAGACTTAGTTTTCAACCGTTGTTTTATCAATAAAATAAATTAGTAGACGACAGACGAAACAGAACAAGACGTGGTCTACACAGAAGATATTCGTTTATTATGCATTTAATACAGTAAACAACAGTTTGTCCTCTCAATAGTTCTAAATTACTAAAATTAATTTAGAGCGGAAACTCAGTTATATGAAAAGTGCTACAAAAATTCCTCTGTGAAACCGGGGGTTTCAAAAAAGAGAATTTTGTTCTATGCTGAAGTCATTATTCGCGCAACCTAGAAAGCGACAGGGTAAAATTTGGGAGGAAAACAATAGAAAGAAAACGTAATTTAGGTCTTTGTCATAATGACCGATAAATCAGCTAGAAGTGCGTTGTACAAAGTATCTATATTTTTGTGAGAAATGCCAAAGATACGGCAGTAAAGTCAATTGAAAGAATAACGCTTCAGTAGAGAAGAAAGATCGATTAGTGTGTTTTTCACGACAGTTATTCCAAAAAAAGAAAAAAAAACTGGCTGATCTTTGGAACTGGCGATTGCCTTATCCGACGTTGTTTCTCTTTCAGATCAAGTACTGCTTCTGTGATTCCGCAGCGCTACTGCTAGAACTTTTTAGCACTCTAGTTCCTTACAAAATTAACCTGATAATCGCGTACGCCACTTAGCGCTTAATGACCACCGCACCTAGATTAGCTTAAATTCCGCTCTTTCGTTACTGTATCGATCGTCCAGCTTTTATTTGCTGTGCAACATCTAATTTGAAATTTAATCGTTTATGCGGTCAAGTTCATACTGTATTTCAAAAGCTTGTAAGTTCAGAAAAAGATTTCGGGAAAAATAATTTGCTATTTCGTCACTATGGTCCAGTTTACGATAGACATGAGGTTTCTCCCCTTCCTGTAAAAAATAGCACTAGAAACTTCTGTTCCTTAGCTCGATGGTTCAGCGGGTTTAGGGAACCTCAAGCCAGGATAATTAAACCTTTATTACACTAAACACGTCGCTATCACGCGTTAATAACAATTGACTTAAGTTATTTGTAACGTCAACAAATAATAAACAAAGAATTAAACAGCCGACTCAATCTTTACGCCCACTCGGTCCGCTCATCGGTTGACACTAAACTAAACAGACACGCAACTGGCTTTCCTCTTAGTAAACAAAGAAACGATCTACGACTGTGGCAACTATCGCCCAGCCTATGGCGACGTTGCCTGAAGCTATCTTAATCACTCTGTATGCTGTCGCATACTTCGTCTGCGGCACCACTCCAAACCGATCAAGATTACGCTCTAACTTCTTCTCTCGCAATTCTGATCGATTCCAGAATAACAGCGACTTGCTGTGCTGTAAACTATACGGTCCTCTGCTTTCTTGCTCGTATCTAATATCTTAATCGTCGCCATCTACTGTTTCTTTCCTGATTCTATGCCTCGATGATCTTCCTCCTGACGTATTTCCCTCCTATGGTACCGAAGGAGTCGTGAGCTCTCTCATGAAATTTGATTTTTATGGCAATCTACTGCCAAACTGCACTCAGTATCTCCAGAAAAGTCCACTTGTCTTATTTTAAAGAATCTAAGTAGTTTATGAAACGAAGCATAGTAGCTTTCTTTGCTAGCTGAATTTCTCCTACTCTAATCTTTCTGTCTTCCGATTGTGGCAGGTATTTAATCCTAGCTAGTGTCCATTGTCTTCTTTTAAAGTCATCGTCGCATAATAACACTACCTCACCTATTTTAGGCGGACGGCAAGGCAAGAACTTTATTTGTTTATAACCCCTGTCGGTGGTTTTTCTCAATAAATTCAAGTACTCATGTCTCTAGAAACTCCAAAAGTGTTTGAAACACTCTTCTGTTTTCTAGAAACCTGAGCTTCAGTTCCTTCCTTGTACTCTAATCTTTATAACCACCGTCTTCTTGTCTCGGATGGTGCTGCTCCGTCGCTGAGTTGACCTTGGTATCAAAGAATCGCACGGCCTGAGCACACCCTAACTACCGTGGCTAACTTAAGTGATGGACAGTAAGTTCAATACGTCTCTGGCTCTGACCAATAAAATCTCAAACTCCTCTTCTGCCAGAAGTCGTTTCTCTATCGACTTCTTAAGGCGGGTTTTAATTAACCCTACAATTCTTCAACAGACCCTAGTCGAGTAGTGCCTGGGTCGCGTAAAGTAATATTTTAAACGCGAAAGGACTGAGGACTGAAATCCTTCTTACAGCAAAGATTTCGCGGAAACTGCTCGGGTGACAGCGCAATATAACGATTCAGAGCTTTGTGTGAAACAGGCTTTATGTTTTGATCGATAAGCCGCCGGTCTCCGGAAGCACAAGCTGCAGGTTCGAGTCTTTCCTGGCTCGAGTAAGGTGATATTTTATTGTGCATTTATTCAAAACCCAAGTCACTGTTGTAGGAAAGATTTCGCGGAAATTCCTCCACCGACACCAGACGTAAGCGCCATAGACCCCGCGGTGAATAAGGCCCTGTGGCCCAATGAATAAGGCGCTGCTCTCCTAAAGCGAAGACTGCAGGTTCGAGTCCTGGTTGGGTCAAATAAAGCGACACATTAAACCCAAAAGCATTGAGGACCGAAATCATACCTACAATAAACATTTCCCGGAAATAACTCGACCGACAGCAGACGTAACCGCTGTAGAACCTTCCGGGAAGAAGGCACTGTGCCGCAATAGATAAAACGTTGCTCTCCTAAAGCGAAGAATGCAGGTTCGAGTTTCGCCTGGGCCGAATAAAGTAATATTTTGGTTGTGCATATATTCAAAACTGAAATCACTGTTACAGGAAACATTACGCAGAAATAGCTCGACCCACAGAAGACGTAAGCGACGCAGACA